TCAGTGACAGTTCTCTGTCCCCAAGTATCGTTTCTGTGGCCCTAACTCTGTCCCTGTCCCTAATACAGAGCGGTCTGCCTCTGTTCAATGACTGCAGGCAAATGAAGAATTCCAAAATGGCCGCTATTTATAGCTCGACCATTACACAGTGCTAGCTGGCTGGCTGCTGATTGGCTGAATCCCTTTTCCTCAAATCTGTTTTTCAAGACCTTTGCCTGCGAGAAGTAAGTGTTGAGATCCGTACAGTTACGCCTTATTCTCATAAATTGTCCCTTTTTTGGGATATTTGCCAACCAGGTAGGATGGTGGCAACTGTCTATTGGGATATAACTGTTAGTCTGTTGGCTTAAAATATGATTCCGTAACTATTTTGCCATTTATATTACTCAGTGTTAGGTCCAAAAAGTGAATACTATGCTTACTGTAGGTATAGGTCAAACTGATATGTGCCGTATTATTTAATGTGCCAAAGAAATTAATGGGATTCTTCCCCTTTCCATAATAGGAAAATATCATCAATGTATCTCTTGTAAGCTATAAGTTCTGGCCAGTCTCTGCTGTAAATCACGTCGTCCTCCCACCGAGACATAAATAGGTTCGCCAGACTGGGGGCGAACTTGGCCCCCATCGCGACACTTTTTTGATCTGTAGAAAATGTTTGGTTAAACCAGGAATAATTATGCTGTAATGCAAATTCTAGGAGATTCAGAATATATGCCTGTTGCATAAATGGTAAAGTGCTGTAGTGCTTTAGATAAAACTCCTCAGCGGCCTCCATACCATCCTGAGTGCTTAATGTTCGTATACAGCGAGGCAACGTCTGCAGTTACCAAATAAGTATCTGGTGTGATATCAATGTCATATAATAGGTTAAGTACTTGTTTATTATCTCGGAGGTAGGGGTTTGCACCACTAACGGCTGTAGAAAAAAAATCCACGTACTCCTCAATTTTAGAGCACAACAACCTAATGCCGCTGATAATGGGTCTGCCAGGAGGTTTGACTGGATTTTTGTGAATTTTAGGGAGTATGTACAGAATAGGGAGTCTAGGTGCCGAGGGAATTTAAAAAGGTTTTTTTCTTTTTTATTCAGGATTTGCATGTTATATCCTTGATCAATAATATCCTTTTTAATAGTTTTCTTATAGGTGGAGAGGGGGGTCTTTATTTAGTGGAAGATAGGTGGTATGATCACTAAGGATATGGTTGACTTCTGCAATATAGTCTCCTTTTATCAAGTATGACCACATGTATGTGGCGCCACCTAGCAGCTCGCCAGGGAAAGGGAGAAAGTTAACCATCCAACATATACATTGTTGTATGCCCTTCATCCCATTCATCTATTTCAAATTCATTCATTAGATTTAAGACTTAAAATAGATTAAAAAAGGGGATAAAACCTGGAATGGCTCTGTTCAGTTACATACTATTAAATATGTGTGCAAAATTACATAAAATAAATAAATAAACCATACAATAAAGCTAAAAATGCTTCACTAAAGGAACACACTAGTAAATTATAAATAAAATATATTTAAAACCGTAATAGGAAAGGCCAAAGAGTCGAACAAACGGAGGAGGCAACAGCTCAACTCGTGTCTATGAAACAATTTTGTCTAGCTCAATATTTAAACCACGTGGAGACTGAGTATGTAACAAATAAATCCATTTAGTTTCTAGCATAGACACTGCCCCCTTTTTTTTTTGAATGCCTCTTTTTTTTTTTATGAATATCAATTTTTTTGAATTTCAGAGAATGCAGGTTCCTATTATGTTGACGGTAGTGTATCGATACTGAATGATCTTTGTAGCCTTTTTTTTAATTTTAGCTAAATGCTCGCGTAGCCTATCTTTGAGCCTTCTGGTTGTTCTGCCCACATATTGCTTACCACACGAGCATTCCAACAGGTACACTACATAGGAGCTATTGCAAGTGATGGTAGATTTGTATGTCGTAAGATCTACCAGTAAAGTTGGAACAAAGTTTTTTTTTTTTTTTTTTTTTTTTTTTTTTTATGGGGTTTTTATGAACGCCATTAACGCACAGCATGCACCTATTGCATGGAAAGAAGGCCTTCCTATAAAAAAAAAAAAAAAAAAAACTGAGGGTTGCTTCAGAGGATTAACTATGTTGGGGGCTAATTTTTCTTAGCGAAGGCGCTTTGCGATATGTAATTTCTGGATAGTCCTGGTAAGAGCTTCCCTAGCTCTGGGTCATTTTTTAAGAAATTCCAGTTTTTCTTAATGATCCTTGCTACATCCCTAATATTGGATTGAGAAATTGGTGATAAAAGGACATCTGTCTGAACCCTACCCTTTGAGGTAAGGAGACTTGTTCTATCAATAACACCAACCTTATTAATTTCAGCTTCTAATACATTCGTGTCATAACCTTTTTCAAGAAACCTTTGTTTAAGTATGTTGGATTGTAACATAAAATCTTCTGGTTTTATCGCAGTTTCTGCGGATACGAAGGAACTGACCCCTGGGTATATTATCAAGCCATCTAGGTAGATGGCAGCTATCCTTGGGGATAAAACTATTCCTGTCTGTAGTTTGTTGAAAAGTTTTTTTTTTAGATGAAATTCCTGTGCCGTTATTGCAAAGGGTAAGATCAAGGAAATTTTATTTCATGATAGTTATACTAAAAAGTTTTTAATGTTCAGATTATTGTAGTTAAGGGTGGTGAAGAGATTTTGTAGTGTAAATTCATCTCCTTCACAGAATAGCAGAATATCATCAATATAACGATGATAGAGTAGATGAGGCCAGTCCCTAGAATAAATCATCCTCCTTCCCACCTCGCCATGAAAAAGTTTGCTAAGCTGGACGCGAATTTCGCACCCATGGCAATGCCAGTAACTTGTAAATAGTTGTCAGGGATCCAGGTATGACCAGAGATGTGTGGACTGACACAGGGAAATGCAGGCTTCAAGTATGGGTGTAAATGTAATATAATTTATTTTAAGGTTACACCGAACACACAGTGCAAACCAAACCTTAAACTAGTCTCAATATGTGCGGGAACACAAGCGTAGTCAGGCAGGCCGGGTCGGTAACTATCGGGTAGACAAGGTACAAAGGAGAGCAGGAGAGAGGTCAGGAATAGCCGGGGTCGGTGCAGGAAGCACAGGATGCGGGTACAGGGGCTCGTGGGGAACAAACACCAAGTCCCTGACTGCAGGCCTGGCCCTGCTTAAATACACCACCTGCAATCTGCCTCAGGTGATGGCTTGATTGCAGGAGTGAGACCCTGGCTGCTGAAAGCACCCTTTGGTAGGAGCTGGTACTGCAGCCCACAGAGCAAGTGAGCCACAGCACCACCAGTGGTGAGTCCATTCCTGACAATAGTATTTATCATTAAACCAAAAATAGTTATGCCTCATGGCAAAATCCATTAGTTCCAATATATAGTCTTTGTAGTTTGTGGTATATCAGCCTCATTCAAATAAAATTCGGCAGCACTAAGACCATCCGCATGTTTAATATTTGCTATATAGCGCGGTACATCCGCTGTAGCCATAAAAGTGGGATTATGAAATTGAATGTCTTTTTAATATCCATCAAAACCTGTTTAGAGTCTCTAAGAAAAGATGGTGTGCTGCAGACTAACGGTTGGAGAAAGGAGTCTATATATTCTCCTATTCGGGAACACAGGGAGCCTATCCCACCATCGGGCGGCCTGGAGGTTTGACCGGATCCTTGTGAATTTTTGGCAAGCAATAAAAAAAAAAATTGGTAGTCTAGGGACTGAGGGACATCGGTAATCCCTCCTTTCTTATTCAGAATACCGATGTCTGACCCTTTTTTTTTTTTTTTTTTTTTTTTTTTAATTAGTGCCTTCAAAGATTTCTTATAGGATATAAGGTGGTTCCTTTGTAATTCTGCGTAGGTGTCTTTTTATCTACAAATTTATGCACTTGTGACAAATCAGTTTTGTTCATGACGACCACACCTCCGCCCTTGTCAATGTCTAATTGACTTACAATCCTGTCCCAGAGACTGTCATTGTTCATTTTGGTCAGACTCTGCAAATGAGAAAATATTGGGTAGGCGGTTGTTCAAGCGCTGTTTGCTGTTGGATGATAGTTTGCTGGGCTGTGGAGATTGGTTGTTGGTTTTATCTTCCACATTGGTGATGTCCTTATCTCCTACCTGGTTAGAGATAATGCTCTCAAACCAATCAGTTTCTTAATTTTGCTAGCCCTGAACCCTATGAATATGTGCATCGCACAAAACGATTCAAGGGGGGGGGGGGGGCAGCAGCAGCAGGACACCTAACCACCGCTGGTGGACACTTTGGAAACATATATGGTCAGTAAACTTTTGTTCAAAATCTTATGTACCCCACACCAACCAACCCTGAATAAAGGTATCTTAAGCAGTATCACGCTATGTGGTCTCTTATTGGGCACTCTGTGTGAGTGCTATCATTCGCAGTGCCCATCTGGAGGATTCAGGACCCTGGTGGTGATACCTGGTAGCAGTTTCTGATGACCTTACTTCTGTGGAACCGGGATGGTGATCTGGGGGTAATCTGATCTGGGATCTGATGATCGTTCTATGGCCTGGTGACGCAGGATTACGTATTGCGTATGTTAAACGCACATCTGGTGAGTGCGTTTTTTTTTTCACCTATTTGTGTGGTTCACACCTATTATCACACCTTGGATCAGGAAGTCCACTCACCTGGAATTAGGATCTCCCCATGATCCGCACCATTATATTGAACTTTTATATTTACAGATCACCATCAGAGTGATATCACGCATGTGTATGAATTCGCACTAATATATCGTGTGTATAAACTGTGTTTTTAATATTTCATTCTATTTGATATATATAAAAACTTGGCTTGTCTCAGCTTAAAGATTAGAGATGAGCGAATTATTCAAAAATTCGATTCGACTGATTCGGCGAATTCGTGAAAAAATTTCGAGTCGAATATATTCGCTACGAATTTACCTTATAAAAGGGTGTTTCTAGGCTTCAGAGAGCCTTTATATTAGTGCAGAACACTGTACCTTTAATTTAAATGCCCTTGGAGTCTGCTGGGGAAGAGAAATAAAACTGACAGTCAGTATGACATGCAGATGAGTGCCGTCGATCTTAGAATCACCGCACACTTCACTCATTTGGGCAGTCACGGGGCCAAAACCAGAGTGTGGAGCCACAGTGTGGCGGTGGGAGGCAGCAGCAATGGGAGGCCATACAGCACCCTATGACAAAAATGGAAACCACCAGCAGTGTGAGGAGACCTGCAAGTGGCACGTGGCAGAGTGTGGCGATGGAGACAGCAGCAATGGGAGGCCGTACAGGGACCCATGAGAGACTCTTGACCTGGCAGCAGCGTGAGGAGGCGGTACAGGGGCCCATGACAGATTACGGGCCTGGCAGCAGCATGAGGAGTTGGTACGGGGGCCCATGGCAGATTACGGGCCTGGCAGCAGCAATGGGAGGCCGTACAGGGACCCATGACACACTGTGGACCTGGCAGCAGCATGAGGAGGCGGTACAGGGGCCCATGACAGATTACGGGCCTGGCAGCAGCATGAGGAGTCGGTACGGGGGCCCATGGCAGATTACGGGCCTGGCAGCAGCAATGGGAGGCCCGTAATCTGCCAGCACCCTATGAAAAAAAATGGAACACACCAGCAGTGTGAGGAGACCTGAAAGTGGCACATGGCAGAGTGTGGCGATGGAGACAGCAGCAATGGGAGGCCGTACAGGGACCCATGAGAGACTCTGGACCTGGCAGCAGCATGAGGAGGCAGTACAGGGGCCCATGGCAGATTACGGGCCTGGCAGCAGCAATGGGAGGCCCGTAATCTGCCAGCACCCTATGACAAAAAATGGAACACACCAGCAGTGTGAGGAGACCTGAAAGTGGCACATGTTTGGGGCATGATTCATGGCGGATTTAGTCAGTTGTGTCAGGAACTGGTGGTTTGAAATCCAGACTAATCCACGCCTGATTCATTTTCACAAACGTGAGTCTCTCCACACTTTGGGTGGACAGTCGTGTCCTCCGGAGTTACAATACCTCCTGCCGCACTAAACACGCGCTCCGATGCCACGCTACTGGCCGGGCATGACAGCCTTTCAAGGGCAAATTCAGCTAGTTGGGGCCAAAGGTCAAGTTTCGTTGCCCAGTAGTCAAGGGGATTGTCTACCTCGGTTGGCAGGGTGCTGTCCAAGTAGGCCCGAGCCTGTTGTTTGAGGTCCTGCTCCAGGTCCACCTGATGCTGCTGCTGCTGCTGCTGCGGCTGGTTAGTAGTTTCCTCACTGCGCTGGTGAAGAAAGCTACTCATAATCGACTGCAGACTGAGGCAGCCGCTGCTGGTGGAGCTGCCACTGCTCCTACCACCCCACCCCTCCCCTGCTGCCATGGCAGTGGAACGCGAGCGCACAGGGCCCACAGTGTCTGAGGATGGACGTTGGCGCACAAAGGCAGAGACCAACTGACTACATAGGTGGTTTTTATAGTACGTTATTTTGGCCTCCCTCTCAGCAGGTGTGAAAAAGGCCACCATTTTTGAACGGTAGCGAGGGTCCAACAAGGTGGACAGCCAAAAGTCATCCCTCTGTCTGATGGTTATTATTCGGCTGTCGCTACGCAAGCAACCGAGCATGCTATGGGCCATTTGTGCCAAGGAATGCGAGGGACTCCCTGCCTCCATCTCCACAGCATACTGCCACGGTGCGTCTGGGTCCTCTGTCTCCTCCTCCTCCTCTACCAGATGCTCCTGCTCCTCCACTCCTGTCCGCTGAGTGGAAAAACCACCCATTTCACTCAATAATTCCTGAGCACAAATGTCCTCCTCTACCCTCCTCCTCTTCTTCCTGTCCTGCCCCCACAGGGGTCATGTGGCGTTGAGATCTGTGCGCCACGTCTACCGCACCCTGACCAGCCATTGTTAACAGCATTTGTTCCAGGACGTGCAACAGAGGAATGACGTCGTTCATCCCATAGTCCTGCCGACTCACGAATAGCGTGGCCTCCTCAAAGGGCCTGAGCAAGCGGCAAGTGTCACGCATGAGCTGCCAATGGCTGACGTCTAAGTTACACAGGGGAGTACCTTTATCCACTTGTAACATCAGGAAATCGGTGATGGCCTTTCGCTGTTCGTAAAGGCGGTCTAACATGTGTAGGGTTGAATTCCACCTTGTTGCAACGTCGCAGATCAGGCGATGCTGTGGAATTCCGTTCTGCCGCTGCAGCTCAAGGAGGGTGTGCTTTGCGGTGTAGGAATGGCTGAAATGCATGCAAAGTTTACGTGACATTTTAAGGATGTCTTGCAGTGGGATGGTGGATTTTAGGAACCGCTTGACAACCAGATTGAACACGTGAGCCATGCATGGCGCATGGCACAACCTTCCTTGACGCAGAGCAGACACCATGTTCTTTCCGTTGTCAGTCAACATGGTTCCGATTTTCAGTTTGCGCGGAGACAGCCATCTGTCGATTTCTCTGTTCATTACACTGAGAAGTTCCTCCCCTGTGTGACTACGTTCGCCAAGGCATACCAGGTGCAGAACAGCGTGACACCGTTGCGCCCTGCACATGTGATATGCCGGTCGGGTAATGGGACTTGGCATGGGGGTGGTGGCTGAGGACACGGCGGAAGAAGAGGTGGTAGAGGCGGACATCTTTGCCGGACCAAGGACGTGCAAACGTGGAGGCAAAAGCGGCGTGACCTGTCCAAGTTGCTGGTGCGGCTGTGACGGCACCACGTTCACCCAGTGGGCCGTATATGACATGTACTGTCCCTGACCGTAGTTACAGCTCCACACGTCGGCGCTGCTGTGCACTTTGGCAGAGACCGACATGCTCAAAGACTGGCCCACCATCTCTTCTACATGTGAATGCAGGGCTGGCACTGCCTTTTTGGCAAAGAAATTACGGCTTGGCACTCTCCACCGCGGCGCGGCACAAGCCATCATTTCTCGGAAAGGTGCTGAGTCCACCACTTGGAAAGGGAGGGACTGCAGCACCAGCAACTTGGACAGGAGGACGTTCAGCTTCTGCACCGTCGGGTGCGTGCTCGCAAACTGTTGTCTCTCTGAAACGGATTCCAAGAAAGACTGCTGACGGAATCCGTGAAGAGGAGTAGCAGGAGAAGGAGCATCAGAACGAGCGGAAGATGCCAACGAGCGACAACTCCCCTCAGCAGAGGTGTTGGAGCCTTGACTGGCTGATAGAGGGCGATTGACGTCGGGTGACGGAGCAAGTAACGGAGCGGGTGATGGAGCGGGGGCTGGGGCAGGCAGAACCGCCGTATCTTTATCACGGTTTTCCCAGGCCACCGAATGGCGACGCTGCATATGCTGACGCAACGCTGTAGTCCCAACATGGGCCCCCTGGCCACGCTCGACTTTCTGGCCACATAGTCGACATACGGCTACGTTTACTTCCTCGGGCGGCTTGACAAAAAATTGCCACACCGCCGAGTAGGAAACTTTGCCCCCGATACTCCTCACTGGCTGACTGCTGCTTCCTCCGTGCACACCGGCACCACTACTGGCCATGGTGGTAGGCTGCAGTGGAGCTGGTGCTGTACTCCGTGGCCGTTTGCCTCCACTGACACTGCTGCGACCCTGCTGCCTCCTGGGCAACCCACCGACTGTTTTGCTCGCTGCCAAGCTGCCACCCTCATCTCCTGATGATGCGGAAGCAATAGCCTGATGACGACGAGGCTGTCAAGTGCGATCAGCCTCATCATCATCAATTAGGGTCGCCGCCTCACTACTAGCCCCCTCGGCTGCGTGTGGGTCAGGAGACAGACCTGTCTCTAGACTGGCTACCGAGCCACTCTCCTCGCCACTACTTCTTCGCCTGGCTGCTGAAGAGGCGGATATCTCCCCCCGTTCCTGACCTCCCTCTGTTAGCTCTTCCTCACTGTACAGTGGGGCTGAGCCCACAGCATGCGATACTTCGCTTGGTGAGGGAACACCAAAGGACAGGGGCAGGTCGAGGACACGTGATTTCAGTGGGCTCCCGGGCCATGCCAACTAACGGTTGTGTCTGACGTACCCACCGACCGTTGGCTGTAGGTGTCAGAGGTGACCTGGGAAGGAAGACGACCGAGCCAACCAATCGATGACGGCAGGGTTGTCGGTGGAGACACGACCGCTGGATGACACCGGGAGCACTGGCCTCTGGCTGCGAATAGTGCTGCCTTGACCCCTTCCTCTGCTGCCACGTTTGCTCGCTCCTAAAACATTGCCTCCTCTTTCACTCCTCTGCATGTTGTCTGACATACTCTTTAATTAAATGATTCTGTGTCCCTGAGTAACAATTCTGTGTCTGTCGCTGAGTAACAATTCTGTGTCTCAGTAACGTTTCTGTGTCCCTCAGTAACGTTTCTGTGTCCCTCAGTAACGTTTCTGTGTCCCTCAGTAACGTTTCTGTGTCCCTCAGTAACGTTTCTGTGTCCCTCAGTAACGTTTCTGTGTCCCTCAGTAACGTTTCTGTGTCCCTCAGTAACGTTTCTGTGTCCCTCAGTAACGTTTCTGTGTCCCTCAGTAACGTTTCTGTGTCCCTCAGTAACGTTTCTGTGTCCCTCAGTAACGTTTCTGTGTCCCTCAGTAACGTTTCTGTGTCCCTCAGTAACGTTTCTGTGTCCCTCAGTAACGTTTCTGTGTCCCTCAGTAACGTTTCTGTGTCCCTCAGTAACGTTTCTGTGTCCCTCAGTAACGTTTCTGTGTCCCTCAGTAACGTTTCTGTGTCCCTCAGTAACGTTTCTGTGTCCCTCAGTAACGTTTCTGTGTCCCTCAGTAACGTTTTCTGTGTCCCTCAGTAACGTTTTCTGTGTCCCTCAGTAACGTTTCTGTGTCCCTCAGTAACGTTTCTGTGTCCCTCAGTAACGTTTTCTGTGTCCCTCAGTAACGTTTTCTGTGTCCCTAACTCTCTCCCTGAATACAGCCAGGTCTGCCTCTGTTGAA